TGAACTTTTCAGAAGTCTGTTAACAACAAATTCTTCAGCCTGACCGGTAAGGGGCGAAACCAGCGGCTGGTGAAGAGGGGTTGCACAGGAGGTCTCGGTCAGACGGACTCAGGCGCGGAATCCAGACACGCAGAATCCAGGCGCAGGGTTGGACCTAATGGAGCTACCAGGCGAGCGACTGCGGGGAAGACAGCGGGGGAGCAGTGCTGTGTGTTGACTGTGGTCGCGCATTTGTGCGCGGGTGGACGGGCGAGGGAGTGGGCGGTTGGACCTGGGCCCGTGGGTCCCCGCGGCTAGAGGCAGTGGAGGGCTCCGCCATTTCCCTGCTCTGACCCCACCTCCACATACAGCATCATAACACAGCGACTCTGAGTGGCCCGGCCCAGGTGAACCACCTAAGGCACTAATCCTCACCCAGCTGTGAGAAACAGCAGAGGGGGTCGCCATTTCCCCGCTCTGACCACGCCCCCACATACAGTGTCACAACCCCAGTGACCTGGGAGTCCAAGGCGCCGCTTCTCACACTTAAAGGGCCAGAACAGACCAAAAATGTCACAAGAAGATCTCAAAGCCTCAGTGCCCATAGATCTAAGCAATGAAGAAATAGCAAAACTCTCAGACGCACAATTTAAAACACTGGTGATCAGGATCCTCACAGAACTGGTTGATTATAGCCACAAATTAGACAAATATATGAAGGCGAAACTAATTGAAATGAATGGAATTGCACAGGACACCAATAGCAATGAAAAGGAAACTGGGACTCAAATCAATGGAGTGAACCAGAAGAAAGCAAATAATGGCCAAACAGAAAAGAGTCAAGAAGCAAGAATTCAAAGAAATGAGGAGAGTCTTAGGAACCTCCAGGACATCTTTAAACGCTCCAACATCCAAATTATAGAGGTACCAGAAGGGGGAAAGGCACAGCCACCAGTGGAAAACTTATTTGAACAAATAATAAAGGAGAATTTCCCCAATCTGGCAAAGGGAAATAGACTTCCAGGAAATCCAGGAAGCTCAGAGAGTCCCAAAGAAGTTGGACCCAACAAGGAACACACCAAGGCACATCATAATTACATTAGCCAAAATTAAAATGAAGGAGAGAATCCTAGAAGCAGCAAGAGCTAAGGGGACAGTCACCTACAAAGGAGTCCCCATCAGACTGTCAGCAGATTTCTCAAAAGAGACTTTACAGGTAAGAAGGGGCTGGAAAGAGGTATTCCAAGTCATGAAATCTGAAGACCTACAACCAAGATTGCTCTATCCAGCAAAGTTTTCATTTAGAATGGAAGGACAGATAAGGTGCTTCTCAGATAAGATCAAATTCAAGGAGTTCATCATCACCAAGCCCTTATTATATGAAATGTTAAAGGGACTTATCTAAGAAATAGAAGTTAAAGAAACATGAACAGTGAAAGGACAACAAACTCACAGTTATTAACAACCACACCTAAAACGAAAGCGAACTAAAAGGACAGCTAGATCAGGAGTGGAAACATAGAGATGAAGATCTCAGGGAGGGTTAGCAACAGGGGAGTGGGATGAAGAGAAGGGGGGAGAAGGTACAGAGAATAAGTAGCATAGACAGTAGATAGAAAATAGAAGGGGGGCAAGAATAGCATGGGAAGTATAGAATCTAAAGGACTTGAGACACATGGTCATAAAGTAAAGGGGGAGTAATGGTGGGGATGGGGGGTAGGGTGGAGGGGAATGAAAGGGGGAATAGAAAAACTGTAACAGCATAATCAATTAAAAAATTTAAAAAAAGAAAAATTAAAAAAAAAAGAATTATTTTCTGTGGGGACCTCCAGCCAGGATGGAGGCATAGGTGGAAATACTCTACCTCCTCACACAACCATATTTAAGGAAAACAAAGATTTAGAAACAAAAACACAACCAAAACAGACAGAAAATTTAACCATACTGAATGAAGTGTGACAACAACAAACCATTCATCCAGACTGGTAAGAGGGGCGAAGTCGAGGCTGGCAGAGAGGGGTCCTGGCAGGAAGAGGCAGTGGTTGGCAGACACGGGCACCAGGAAAAAAATGAGCAAACGCAGTGGGGTGTGCAAGACAGCTGGCTGACCACAGACACACATTTGTGTGCAGATAAATCAGGCAGGTTTAAAAATGGTCAGTGAGACAGACTGTGCAACCCAGGGCCCCAGCAATGGGAAATAAAACCTAAAAGCACCAATTGGGAAAACTTTGGGGGTTGAGGTGCCAGGAGAGGTGCCCAGCCTCACAGGAGAGTTTGTTGGGAAGATCCACAGGGTCCTAGAATGTACACAAGCTCACCTACCCAGAAAACAGCACCAGAAGGGCCCAATTTGCTCGTGGGAAGTGGCAGAGGGGACCAAAATCCAAGAGAGAGCCAACAAACTCCATTGCTCCCTCTCTGATCCCACCCATAGTGACAATCCAGTGACAGGGTAGACCCATCCTGGTGAACACCTAAGCCTCTGCCCCTCATACATAACAGGCGCAAACAGACCAAAACATTATGGCTCAAGAAGAACAGCTCAAATCCCCAGAGCCAATACTTCTATGCAACAAAGAGATAGCCAGCGTATCAGATGCACAGTTCAAAACACTGGTGATCAGGTTGGTCACAGATCTGGCTGATTTTAGTCACAAATTAGATGAAAAATAAAGGCTATACTAAGTGAGATGAAGCAAAATGCACAGGGACCAACAGTGATGAAAACAAAACTGGGACTAAAATCAATAAAGTAGACCAGAAGGAAGGAAGAAACAACCAAACAGAAAAGAATGAAGAAGCAACAATTCAAAAAAATGAGGAGAGGCTTAGGAGCCTCCAGGACATCTTTAAATGTTCCATCACCTGAATTATAGGAGTACCAGAAGGGGAATAGGAAGAGCAACAAGTGGAAAACTTATTTGAACAAATAACAAAAGGGAACTTCCCCAATCCGGCAAAGGAAATAGGCTTCCAGGAAGTCCAGGAAGCCCAGACACTCCCAAAGAAGGTGGACCCAAGGAGAAATGCACCAAGGCATATCATAATTACATTAGCCAAAATTAAAATGAAGGAGAGAATCCTAGAAGCAGCAAGAGATAAGGGGACAGTCACCTACAAAGGAGTGCCCATCAGTCTGTCAGCAGATTTCTCAAAAGAGACCTTACAGGCAAGAAGGGGCTGGAAAGAAGTATCCCAAGTCATGAAATGCAAAGATCTACATCCAAATTTGCTCCATCCAGCAAAGCTCTCATTTAGAATGGAAGGGCAAATAAAATACTTCTCAGATAAGGTCAAGTTCAAAGAGTTCAACATCACCAAGCCCTTATTATATGAAATGTTAAAGGGACTTACCTAAGAAAAAGAAGATAAAAAATATGAACAGTGAAAGGACAGCAAACTCACAGTTGTTAACAACCACACCTAAAACAAAAACAAACTAAATGGACAGGTAGATCAGGAGTGGAGCCACAGAAATGGAGATCACATGGAGGGTTAGCAACAGGGGAGTGGGAGGAGGAGAATGGGGAAGAAGGTACAGAGAATAAGTAGCATAGATGGTAGGTAGAAAATAGACAGGGAGAAGGCAAGAATTGTATGGGAAATGTAGAAGCTAAAGAACTTGTGACACATGGACATGAACTAAATAGGGGAATGTGCAGAAAGGGGGTGTGCAGGGTGGAGGGGAATGAAGGGGGGGAATGGGACAACCATAATGGCCTAATCAATAAAATATATTTAAAAAAAGAATCAATTTCTGTTTCTTCAAATGTCAAATAGCTCTAAATTGTATTCTGGATAGCTGTAATATCATGTTGAAACCCTAAATTCTGCTATATTCTTCAGATAATTGGTATTTTTTTGTTTTTATTTATTTTGGTTTAATACATAATTGACATGGTTGGCTACAAAATAAAAATACTGTATTTAGGCACCAGTTCAAATGGAATTTTTTAAAGCTTTTGATGGGCTGTTTAGAATCTTCTCCATGCATGTGTGGTTTAAGAATCAGAGGGAGGTTTGGGGAGAGATTATACAGTTTGCAGCTCCCAGTCTCTGGTTCTCTAATTTGTGTGATTTTCCCCTAACTTTTTAAAAATGTTTTTCTTTTTTTTTGAGAGAGAGGGGAAGGGAAGGGAAAAGAGTGGGAGAGAAATATCAATGTATGGTTGCCTCTCGTGTGTCCCCTGCCGGGAACTGGCCTGCAACCCAGGCATGTGCCCTGTCTGGGAATCGAACCGTGATACTCTGGTTCGCAGGCCCACGCTCAATCCACTGAGCTATGCCAGCCAGGGCTTCCCCTAACTTTTTGAGTGGCTATATTGCCCTGAACTCTGTTACCTGTTTTTTTTTAAGTTCTAAAAACTCAGGCTTTCTATCAGTTATCAGGTTCTTGCCTGGCTCAGATAGGGCATGCTCTCAGACTAGGCGCCAAAAACCAAAAATACTACTCTTGGTCACCTTCTCTCAAGAATCTAATTACTCTTGGTTGCTTTGAAATATTGATATTTGTATTTTGTTCATAGTTTATGGTGGCTCTGTGTGGCTGGGCTTGTCCAGTAGGTATTTGCTATTGTATACCAGAGGAGAAAGGGGGACTTTAGGTATGGTTCCTCAATTCTTTCCTCTGGTGAAGAATTCTTGAGCTCTTTAATGTGTAATAGAATCCACTCCTACTCGCAAAGTCTGAACTATACTTATTTTGTGTTGAGAAAAAAGTTGCTTCTCTTCATAAAATTTTAATGTTCATTTTTAAACTAGAAATGAGATGTTTAATTTACTTTAGTTATAATTTGCCAAATTGCAAGTTAGTTTGCATATGAAAAATCAATAGGAAGGTTTAGCTACAGAAATTTTCCACCATTATGGCTGAGAATTACACAGTAAACATTTATGCTTAAATCATCATCTTGGCTCTTCATATGGAGTTTAGAAAGGTAATAAGTGTAAGAAAAATTTATTAAAAACAGAAGTACCAAAATGAACACTCCCCCACCCCTTCTTATGTTACATCCTAGAAAATAGCTTGTGCTCTGGAAACTGAGAACAAAGTCCTTCATGAACAACTGAAACAAGCTTTACAGGTAAAGGATATCATGTTTTTTCCAAATCATTAGCAAGTGAAGAAAATATCAATAAAGAACTTTTAAAATTAATAATATTGAAATTGTTAAAAGAAGTATATAATATTATGCCAGGTTTAAAGTATATTCATTTTGTGCACTAGGAATATATCACTAGAATTTAATATTCATTTTTTCAACACCTAGAGTTTTACTTAAAATTAAACTTATTGGAGTGATATTGTTTAGTAACATTACGTAGGTTTCAACTGTACATTTGTATGGCACCTGATCTGTATATTGCTTTGTGTGCCCACCACTCAAACTCAAATCATCTTCTGTTACCATATATTTGACCCCCTCCAGCCCCTCTCCTCTGGTAACCATCATACTGTTGTCTGTGTCTATGAGTTTTTGTATGTTTTCCTACTAGTTGCTTTCAGTTTTATAATTCACATATAAGTGAAATCATAGGCAGTAATCTAGAAAGTAAAGTAAACATTCTTAATCAAACAAAAGATATTTCTTTCAAACTGACACTACAAGTAAAAGTATAATACTTCAGGCATTCAAATTAAACTCAGTTAAACCAGGATTAAGGAAGAAATTGAAGAAGATTCAAATAAATGCAAGCATTTACCACATTCATGGATTGGAAGAATTAACATCATTAAAATGTCCATACTACCCAAAGTAATCTATAGATTCAACATGATTCCTACTTAAATATCAATGGCATATTTCACAGACCTAGAACAAAAACTCCAAAAATTATATGGAACAACAACAAAAAACCCCATGAAACAAAACCCAAATAGCCTCAGCAATCTTGAAAAAGAAGAACAAAGTTGGAGATATCACAATACCTGGTATCAAACTATACTACAAGTCCACTGCAATCAAAACAGTCTGGTACTAGCATATAGGTCAATGGAACAGAATAGAGAGCCCAGAAGTAAACCCATGTCTCTATGGTCAATTAAGGGGGTACTAGCATACAATGAAATAAAAAAATAATCCCTTCAACAAATAGTGTTGGGAGAACTGGATTGGTACATGCAAAAAAAATGAAACTGAATCACATACTTACATCATACACAAAAATAAATTTACTGTCAGCAAATGACTTAAAAATAAGTGGTGACACTTCTATTCAATATACTATTGGAAGTTTTAGCCACAGCGATCAGGCAAAATAAAAGGCATCCAAATAGGAAAGGAGGAAGCAAAACTGTCACTGTTTGCAGATGACATGATAGTGTACATGGAAAATCCTATAGACTCTACCCAAAAACTGCTCAAACTAATTAATGAATTTGGCAAAACAGCTGGCTACAAAGTCAATATCCAGAAATCAAAGGCATTTTTGTATACCGACAGTGAATCAGCAAAAGCAGGAATCAAGAAAAAAATCCCATTCGATATAGCAAAAAGAAAAATAAAATACCTGGGAATAAACCTAACCAAGGAGGTAAAATACCTTTACTCAGAAAACTACACAATACTGAAGAAAGAAATCAAGGAAGACACAAACAAATGGAAGCATGTACCATGTTCATGGATCAGAAGAATTAACATCATCAAAATGTCCATACTACCCAAAGCAATTTACAGATTCAATGCAATATCTATTAAAGTACCAATGGCATATTTCACAGACATAGAACAAACACTTCACAAATTTATATGGAACCATAAATGACCCCAAATAGCAGCTGCAATTTTGAGAAAGAAGAGCAAAGTAGGAGGGATCACAATACCTGATACCAAACTGTATCACAATGCCACTTATAATCAAAACAGCCTGGTAGTGGCATAAAAACAGGCACATAGACCAATGGAACAGAATAGAGAACCTGTAAATAAACCCAAGTCTCTATGGCCAATTAATATTTGACAAAGTGGGAAGAAGCATACAATGGAGTAAAAATCGCCTTTTCAACAAATGGTGTTGGTAAATCTGGACAGCTCCAGGCAAAAAAGTCTCTTTATAATCAACTTACAGCATACACAATAGAGAATAAATTCAAGGTGGATAAAAGACATATATAAGTCATGACACCATAAAAGTCCTTCAGGAGAACACAAGCAGGAAAATCTTTGCTATTCCACACAGCAATATTTTCACTGATATGTTACCAAAGTAAGGGACATAAAGGAAAGAATAAACTACTGGGATCTCATCAAAATAAAAAGCTTCTGTGTGGCTAAAGGAAACAGAATTAAAAGGAAAAGAAAACCAACTGTATGATATAACATATTTGCCAATGATGCCTCAGACAAGGGTTTGATCGCCAAAATACATAAAGAACTCACACAATTTATCTCTAGGAAGACAAACAACCCAATTAAGAAATAGGCCAAGGACTTGAAGAGACATTTTTCTAAGGAGGATATACAAAGGGTCCAGAGACATATGAAAAGATGCTCAGCATCACTAGCCATCAGAGAGATGAAAATTAAAACCACAATGAGATACTACTTTACACCAGTCAGAATGGCCATCATAAAGAAAGCAACAAGTGTTAAAGAGGTTGTGGAGAAAAGAGAGCACTGTTGGTGGGATAACAGATTGGTTCAGGCACTATGAAAAACAGTATGGAATTTCTTCAGAAAACTAAAAATGGAACTGCCTTTTGACCTGGCAATTCCACTTCTAGGATTAAATTGTAAGAACCCTGAAACACCAACCCAAAGAACCTATGCACCCCAATGTTCATAGCAGCTCAATTTACAATAGCTAAGAGTTGGAAGCAACCTAGGTGCCCATCAGTAAATGAATGGATCAAAAAACTATGGTACATTTACACAATGAAATTCTATGCAGCAGAAAGAAAGGAGGAGTTCCTACCCTTTGCAATAGCATGGATAGAACTGGAAAGCATTATGCTGAGTGAAATAGGCCAGGTGTTGAAAGACAACTACCATATGATCTCACCTTTAACAGGAAGCTAAACAACAAAACAAATAAGCAAGCAGAATAAAAACAAAGACACTGAAATAGAGAACAGGGGGACAGTGACCAGAGGGGAGAGGGAAGGGAATTTAAGGGGGAAAAAGGGGAGGGATTTGGAGGAACAAATAGGAAGGACACAGGGATGAGAACTAAGGGGGGTGGAAATGGGAGGGAGGTGGGGAGCATGGGGCAGGGGAGGCTGGGATGGGAGAAATAGACAAAAAACTGTACTTGAAAAATAACTAAATAAAATTAAAAAATAAAATAAAATAAAATTGGTAGTCAAAACTGCAAAAAAAAAGTCTCAATAATATAATTTGATTTTTTAGTTTCTTCAAATTCATATACAAACTTACTGTAATTCATTTCTAGGTATAAGTGAAAATATATTTTAGCTTAACAGAACTATTGTAGGATACATTGAGATAAGAAATTGGTGAATATATGAAATAACAATTAAAGAAAGTTTACTCATAAATCATATAAAGTTTATATTTATATAATGTAAAACTGAAAAAACTAAAGCAGTGTGGTTCTGGACTGAATGAAAAGTTTAGAAACAGATTCAAATGGACATATAATAATTTAGTATTTTATAGTTTTAGTTATCAATTTCCTATAGGTTATAATACTCACAAAAAGTAAACCATTGTTAAAAATAGTTTTGTTGTTCATGTAATATGCCAAAATAAATTCCCTATTGATACAAGATTTGAATGTAACAAATGCATTCTGAAGATATGAGAAGAAAGCGTTGATAGCAATTATCTGGCCTTGGTTATAGTAAGGCTTTATAAGCAGTGCACCACAAAGAAATATGTTATTATATGGGAAAATTGGACAGGTATATGCAGAAAAATGAACTAGACCACCAACTTACACTGTGCCTAAGAATGAACTTAAAATGGATAAAAGACTTCAGTGTTAGTTGTGAAACTGTAAAAATCCCAGAAGATAACAAAAGCATTAAAATTTTAGACATGTCTGGTAGCAATATTTTTGCTGATATATCTGCTAGGTCAAGGGAGATAAAGGAAAGAAAAAAACAAGTGGGACTACATCAAACCAAAAAGCATGCAAAGAAATCTTTATGCACAGGAAAGAAATAAACAAAATTGAAATGGAACACACTGTGTGGAGGAACATATTGCTAGTGATACAAAGTTTGACCTCACAAACCTGGAATTATCTTCTGGAGGGCTGGTCTCTTGTAGTACAGGTTTCTCACACTAGATTAGTGTTCTGGGAACCCATCTGCATCACCTGGCATTGTTGTGAGAGGCTGCACTCCACTTCAGTTAAATTTTTTTGAAGACTGTCTCAACCCATTTGCCTATTTCATGAGTGATTTATGACCTTACCTGCCCACACTGTACTGAATGTTCAGCAGTTTTGAACAAATATGACAGTCCCTATGCAACCAGCCTCTTTGTTTACCTGATCCCGCCTTGAGCAACTTTCTTTTTGTTTCCCCATATAAAAAAAGCCCTCAAACAAACATTTTGCCAATGTGGAAGAGGTGGAAAAAAATGGCAGAAGCACTAAAAGGCATCAAAATGGATGAGTTCAGAAACTGTTTTGAGCAGTGGAAAAAAAATGTCTTGATAGGTGTACTACATCAAATGAAGTGTACTTTGAAGGTGACTGAATTTTAAATATAGAAGAATAAATACACAATTTTTAATAAATAAATTCTGGGGTTTTTGGGTGCTCTCTCACATATCTGGTAAGGGGTTAATTTTGTAAAAATATAAGACTTATATTACTCAACACTAGGAACACAAATTAAATTTTTAAAATGGGCAAAGGAATTGAATAGACATTTCTCCATAGGTCATATATATAGCCAGTAGATGTGAAAAAATGCTCAACGTCACTAATCATCAAAAAGATGAAAATTAAAACCACTTTCCTGCTGTAGCTGATGTGGCTTAGTGGATTGAATGATGGCCTATGAATCAAAAGGTCACCAATTCAATTCCCAATCAGGGTACATGCCCGTGTTGGGGGCCCAGTCCCTGGTAGGGGACATGTGAGAGGCAACCACACATTAATGGTTCTGTTC